CTGTACCCAAGGGGTTGAAGTTCAAGCTGTGGACTGAAACTTATCCTTGAGCCACAAGACCCGTGATGCTAATTCCATCCCACATGACTCTTGAACTTGCTTTAAGGCAGCCAACTGGATTATAAAAACATCTTTATTCTTCAAGGCCTCGTTAATGAGGTTATAATGCTATTCATGGCCTCCTGCAGTCAGTACTGCTCTAGGTCAGTGGTTCTCAATTCTGATTAAATATCTGACTTACCCCAGTGCTGGCCTCACTCCAGTGAAACTACTACTGTTATCTCTGAGGGTGTGGCCCGGGCATGGGGATTTTTAAAAACTCCCCAAGTGATTGGTATGCATAGGTAGTGGCCATCCAAGGATCTGATAGGCAAGAAAGCTAGAAGTTTACATAATACCTGCCACTCCAAATTCTAAAATAAACATCCACGTGGAAGAATGAAGTAAATCATGTAAACATACTGTCTGTGTGTATGCTTGGCTCTGTCTTTCTCTCTCTCTCTCTCTCTCTCTCACACACACACACACACACATATAAAAGTTGAAAGTGGAGAGTTTGTTACTCAATAGAACTCTTGAAAGTGAGAACTGTTATGCCTTAAAAGGAGTGGCGTAGAGAAAACTACCAATGTTGTAACAGGTCTGACCATTAAAGACAGATTTTATAAGAAATACCAAAATAGCAGTATTCCTGCTAAAAGGGAACTTAAAGAGTTAATGAGAGGTTTTCAAACAGGTCCGTGGCCCAGTGCAGGCCTGTTGATGTTATCATTAGGCAAAAACAAAAACAAAAACAAAAACACCAATGACAGCAGAGTAAGTTGCTCACAAAGCTAAAGATATCCAATGTTTGATGCTAAGTGTTTTTTCTTTTATAAATAATGACAATAAATAGTAAGACTTTTCATTTTTTTTAAAAAAACACAGGCATATCCCAGAAATATTGGAGGACTGCTTCCAGACCACTGCAATAAAGCAAATAACACAATAAAAAGAGTCATATAAATTTTTTGGCCTCCCAGTACATAAAAAAAGTTATGTTTGTACTAGATTATAGTCTATTAGGTATGAAATTGCATTATACCTAAAAAAACAAAAAACAAAGCAATGTAGATACCTTAACTAAAAATACTTTATTACTAAAAAATGCTAACGATCATCCAAGCCTTTAATGAGACATAATCTTTTCACTGGTGAACGGTCTTGCCCCGATGCTGATGGCTGCTGACTGATCAGAGCGGTGGTCACCAGAGGCTGGGGTGGCTGTGGCAAATCCTTAAAATAAGACAACAATGGGCTGCACACAGTGGCTCACACCTGTAATCCTAGCACTTTGGGAGGCCGAGGTGGGTGGATCACCTGAGGTCGGGAGTTCAAGACCAGCCTGACCAACCGTGGAGAAACCCCATCTCTACTAAAAACATAAAATTCGCCGGGCATGGTGGTGCATGCCTGTAATCCCAGCTACTCGGAGGGCTGAGGCTGGGAATTGCTTGAACCCGGGAGGTAGAGGTTGTGGTGAGCCGAGATCACACCATTGCACTCCAGCCTGGGCAACAAGAGTGAAGCTCTGTCTCAAAAAATAATAATAAAATAAAATAAAAAAACAACAATTAAGTTTGCTCCATGAAATGACTCTTCCTTTCGCAAAAGGTTTCTCTGTAGCATGCAATGCTATTTGACAGCATTTTACCCACAGTAGAACTTCAAAATTGGAGTCAGTCTTTTCAAACCTTGTCACTACTTTATCAACTAAGTTTATGGAATATTCTAAATCCTTTGCTGTCATTTCAACAATGTTCACAGCATCCTCAATAGAAACAGATTCCATCTCACGAAACCACTTTCTTTGTTTATCCATAAGAAGCAACTCCTCATCCATTCAAGTTTGATCATAAGATTGCAGGAATTCCATCACATCTTCAGGCTCCACTTCTAATTCTAGCTTTCTTGATATTTCCACTACATCTACTGTTATTTCATCCACCTAAGTCTTGAGCCTTTCAAAGTCATCCATGAGGGTTGGAATCGACTACTTCCAAACCCTTGTTAATGTTGGTATCTGACCTCCTTCCATGAACCCTGAATGTTTTTAATGACGTCTAGAATGGGTGAATTCTTTCCAGACGGTTTTCAATTTATTTTGCCCAGATCCATCAGAAGAATCACTATCTGTGGCAGTTATAGCCTTACCAAATGTATTTCTTTAATGAGGCTTGAAAGTCAAAATTACTACTTAATCCATGGGCTGCAGAATGGATGCTGTATTAGCAGGCATGAAAACAACATCAATCTCCTTCTACATCTCCGTCAGAGGTCTTGAAGGACTAGGTGCATTGTCAATGTGCAGTAATCTTTCGAAAAGAATACTGTTTTCTGAGCAGATCAAAACAGTGGGCTTAAACAATGCTGTAACAGCTGTGCTGTCACCCAGGCTTGTTTCATTTCTAAAGCACAGGAAGAGTAGATTTAGCATAATTTTTAAAAGGGCTCTATGATTTTCAGAATGGTAAATGAGCACTGGCCTCAATTTAGTCACCAGCTGCATCACCCCCTAACAAGAGTCAGCCTGTTCTTTGAAGCCAGGCATTATCTTCTCCTCTCTAGCCAAGAAACTCCTAGATGGCATATTCTTCCAATTTAAGACTGTTTTGTCTACATTGAAAATCCGTTGTTTAGAACAGCTGCCTCCATAAAATCATCTTAGCTGGATCTTCTAGACTTCTGGATAACTTGCTGCAGATTCTACATCATCACTTGCTGCTTCACCTTGCATTTTTATATTATGGAGACAGCTTCTTCCCTTAAACCTCATGAGCTGAACTCTGCTAGCTTTAAACTTTTCTTCTGCAGCTTCTCACCTCTCTCAGCCTTCACAGAATTGAACAGAGGGCCTTGCTCTATATTAAGCCTGGGCTTAAGGGAGTATTTTGGCTGGCTTGATCTTCAATCTAGAGCACTCAAAGTTTTTTTCCCAACAGCAATAAGGCTTTCTAATCAATTGTGTTCACTAGAGTAACACATTTAATTTCAAGAACTTTTGCTTTGCAGTCACAACTTGGCTAAGTGTTTGGTGCAAGAGGCCTACCGTGCAGCCTATCTCAGCTTCTGACATGCCTGCCTTCCTCACTAAGCTTAATCATTCTAGCTTTTAATTTAAAGTGAGAGACATCCAAGTGTCACTTGAACACTTAGAAGACATTGTAGGGTTATTAATTGGCCTGATTTCAATATTGTTGTTCAGGGAATAGAGTAGCCTGAGGAGGCAGAGACTATCAGAGCAGTAATCAGAACACACACATGTCAATTAAGTTCACCATCTCATATGGGCACAGTTCATGGCACCCCAAAACTATTACAATAGTAACATCAAAGATCGCTGATCACCATAACAGATATAATAATAATGAAAAAGTTTGAAATATTGCCAAGAATTACCAAAGTGTGACTCAGAGGCATGTAGCGAGCACATGCAGTGTGAAAAATGGAACTGGCAGATTTGCTCCACACAGGGTTGCCACAAACTTTCAATTGGTAAAAAAACAAAAAACAAACAAACAACAACCAAAAAGAAAACGCAGGATCTGCAAAGTACAACAAAGTGAAATGCAAAAAAAATAAGGTATGCCTGCATATGTCTTGACAAAATAAGCAGTCAGATGCTATGTATGGTAACCCCACAGTTTTTAATTGAGCCACAAAATCCCAGTGTCTGGATATCACTAACACAAAATCCCAGTGTCTGGATATCACTAATCTATTAGTTCAACTTTTTTTTTTTTTTTTTTTAACATAAATTCAGACCCCACGGTTTCTATAAACTGACACCGAACCAGCTGCAGGGTAGGGATTAGAGACATCTCCAATCTTCCAGGTTCAAGCTCTCCGCTTCATTAATACCACAGCCACCAGCTTTTGCACCGTAAATATCGAACTTTACACCCATCTTGTAAAGTATGAATCGAAGGTAAGTGTATTAAAGGAATTCTATGGTAAATTCTTCTGTGACCTAAAAGGGATCTAGTGTTAAATGTTGGATTTTTCTAAAATAGGATTCACCCACACAGTATTTCCTTGGCATTGCTTTACATTTCTGGTGGGAAAGAGTAATGGCTGCTCTTACAACTGTTTTATTTTTGTTTGTTTGAGACGGAGTCTCGCTCTGTCGCCTACACTGGAGTCTAAGGGCGCAATCTCCGCTCACTGCAACCTCCGCCTCCCCGGTTCTAGCGATTCTCCTGCCTCAGCCTCCCCAGTAGCTGAAACTACAGGCTCCCGCCACCACGCCCGGCTAATTTTTGTATTTTCAGTAAAGACGGGGTTTCATTAAATTGGCCAGGCTGGCCTAACTCCTGACCTCGTGATCCGCCCGCCTCGGCCTCCCAAAGTGCTGGGATTACAGGCGTGAGCCACTGCGCCCGGCCACAGCTGCTTAAGAGAAGAGAAGGGGCGCAATCTAAGACTTGAGTTCTACTTACACACATTTAAAAATCAACATATAATGTGAGCTTTCAAAAACCGACCGGAAGTGGATGGAGGTACAGATGTGAAAGGACTGGCCGTGAGTTGGAATAATTGTTAAAGCTGGGAGTACTTGGAGGTTCAGGATACAGTACCAATCTCCTTACTCCTCCTTTTTTTTTTTTTTTTTTTTTGGTAAGTCTTTGAAATCTTTGCACTAAAGAGTCTTTTGTTGTTTGCTTAAGTATCCGAGATGAGTGGAATCCAGCCAGAGGCCTTTCTGCGGAGACCCAAAACGAAAAGGAGATATCAGCGTCTCCGCCCCACAGAAGCAAGCTCATACCTATGCTTGCCGCGACAACCGCATAGCTCAATGAGACTTCAAGCAATCAGATGCCAGACCCAGGGAGACCATCCGGCAAGTTCCGGAAAGCAAGAAGTCCCATCCCCAGCTAGAGCTGCAGCACGGACGCTCGTTCCGCTAGCTAGGAGGCCCCAAGCCGGGCCCCAGGCGGCCCCTGGCTCTCCGGATTACTCACCCGCCTCGCTGTAGGCCAGGCGCAGCACCCGGCCCAGCGTGGAGAAGGCGCACCGCGGCTGGCACAGCTCCTGGCCTGCCACCGCGAAAGCCTCCACCTTGCAGCCCGCCGCCACGAAAAGCGCGTCACGCCCCCCGCCGCAGAACCGCTCCGGCTCCAGCTTGCAGGGCACCACCTGCTGTGACCCGAACGGGTGAAGGTTGTACAGCTGCACCATCCCGACCTCCGGCTGCTGGATGGCCCAGCCTGCCCGCCCCGCAGGGCGCCCGGAGACCCCCAGCCGAACGCGAAGGTAGGACCACTTCCGTGAGCGAGCCGGCGACGCCGAGTCACGTGAACGCCAGCCGGCCCCGCCCGCGGCTAAGCTACTTAAAGGGGCAGCCGCTGGGCGTGGCGGGCTTCGGGAAAGCGGTCACGCCCATCTGGCCCGCGCTCACGCGTTGCAGTGCTTTCGGTCTCCACGCCTCGTACTCCGCCGCCCAGAACTCGCCACCGCTCTACGCTCAGTGGCTGGTGGGTGCGGGGACCGCTGGGTCCTGCCTTTCGTCTTTTACTGCTTCGGGCCAGGCAAGATGTTTTGATTTTTGAATACGTTCTGACAATTCATCATCTATCTTGTAACATTTTGTACTTACTTTCAGGAGCGTTATTCATGTCTCTTCAGTAGCCCCAGAGCTTCTGGAGGATGGGGTTGCAAAAACTGAAATGGGGTGCAACTCGAGGCTAAACACTCTGAAGAGTTGCTAAAACATAGTGGAAATTCTAGAATAGTTTAGCGAAAGAGCAACGCCTTGAACGTGCTTGGTAAAAAGATATTTGTTTAATGAAAGAATTCATGGATTTCATCTTGTAGGCATTTGACAAAAGACTAGTTTGAACCCTAGAGGATAGAAGAACTAGGAGGGAAATCCCCTGGCTTTCAGTCCGGTGCTCCTAAAACTATGTAGTAAATGATCCATTCCTGACATCTCAGCGTGGAGTTAACGATCGCAACGCTTTCCCTTTTTTTAAAACAGATTTAGATGAAACAAGTAGTATAACTTTTTCCAATTCACCTAGAAAATGTATGTGTTAGCATGGATTGAGGGATGCTGTTTTGTTTAGGCACACAGGGACATAAATGAAAGTGCAAAATTTTCTTTAGTCAGTTTCCAGTTCAATCACCCTCTTGAGCCCTTTATTTCAAGAATTTGTAAATTAGATGCAATTGGATTGCAGTTAAACTTGCCTCCCTTTCCTAGGCCCTTCAGATGAATAAAGTATCTCTAAGTAATGGGAGACAACAGATTCTTCAAACTCAGTGAGGCAGAGAAGTAGACATGGAGGTAGCTCAGGTCAGGAACTAAGGCTGCAAAAAATCACAGAAAGCTTCTGTGGAAAACAACCAGACTAATAGTCCACCAGTTATTTGTTCTAGATACAACACTTGAGAGCAAATATCACAATCAATAGTAAAAAAGGTTCATTTCTACAACTATCTGCCATATTATTCTTTTTGGCTTAACTTTCTCCTTCAAGACTTAATTCTCCTAATTCAATTTCCTCCTAATGAAGACTGATATTGACTTTAATGTAATCTCACCTGCATAAAAAGAATATCTATTTTGGATAAAGAAGTGAGATTTGCTCAAAGCCTGGAACTCCAGTCCTTCCTAGAGATAGTGTCTTCTTCCTTAGTATAGTCACTGCACCTGACTCATCTAAAATTCTTTGGGAAGAGACATGCTACCCAAGGGAAGGTGGGGCATGTGTCTAGTTTCCACATTTGTCAGCAGCTGTGGCTGCCCACTTGCATTCCTGTTACGAATGCAGGGGCAGCAATGGCACACCATCAATTCCTTATGGGAGGTTGTATTTGTTTGCAAGGGCTGCCATAACAAAATACCACAGACTGGGTGGCTTACACAATAGACATTTCATTTTCACAGGTCTGGAGGCTAGAAGTCCAAGATGTCAGCAGGTGTGGTTTCTCCTGAAGCCCCTCTCCTTGGCTTGAAGATGACTACCTTTTTATTATGTGCTCATATGGTCTTTCCTCCATGTGCCTGCATCCCTGGTGTCTCTCCCTCGTCTTATAAAGATACTAGCCATATTAGATTAGGACCCACCCTTATGATCTTATTTAATCTTATTTCTTAAAGGCCCTATCGCTATATACAGTCACATTCTGAGGTATTGGAGGTTACAGCTTCAACATATGAATTTGGGGGCAAGACAAAATTTAGCCCATAGCACATGCACTTAGGGTAGCACTCTGTTGAAAAAGGTTGTCTTGAGAACATCCCTCCCTCCCTCCTTCCTTCCTTCCTTCCTCTCTCTTTTTTTAAAGAGATGGGGTTTCGCCTGTCACCCAGACTGGAGTGCAGTGGTGTGATCTTGACTCACTGTAGCCTTGACCACCTGGGTTCAAGCAATCCTTCCATCTCAGCCTGCAGATTAGCGGGGACTATAGGCACATACTACCATGCCTGGCTAATTTTTAAATTTTTTTGAAGAGATAGGGTCTTACTATATTACCCACGCTGATCTTGAACTCCTGGACTCAAGCGATACTCTTGCCTCAGCCTCCCAAAGTGCTAGGATTACAGACATGAGCCACAGCACCTGGCCCTAGAACTTCTTCAAGCTGTATTTGCTGGGGAGATTTAGGATACTATATGGGTAAAAAGCTCCCCCCAGTTTCTTCTGGGTGACAGCACTGCTGGGGATGGCTACAAAAATGGTTCTGCAACAACATGGACAAAGAGCTCTACTCAACCAGCCTAGAAAAGAAGGATTCTGGATCTCTGGAGCACTGATTCCCTATCGCATCTGTGAGGTGCCTCGGGATATCTGCATTGATCTTAGAAGACGTGTTGAGAAAGTCACTCACAAAATGCCATTTACTTCTCATTTATTTCTATATTTCCTCAAAGTTCTTTCTGGAAAAGTCACAAAAATCAAACAAGGAAAGTGTATAGGAATTCCCAAAAGGTAGCTGACCACTATTTGCATAGGTGGCTCCATTATTTTTGCTTCTTAAAAAAAGGGGCCTCTGAAAGACTTTTTAAAAATTAGGTTGGTGTTGTAAGCATGCTTCCGGAAGAATAGAACATGACTCTCTCAGAGCAATGGATGAAGTGGTTTCTGCATCTCTAAACAACACCATCACGATGGTCAGAGAAGCCCAAGGCACTTGGGGAAATCAAGTGCCAGCATTGAGGTGTTCAGCCCTTAGCCTTCAGATAGAGCAGTTGGTGGGGTGTAAGGAGGTGCAAACAACAGCTCCACTGACCTTTCTTCTCTCTTCCCTAGCCTCCTCTTCTCTCCCCTCTCTTCCCTAGTTTTCTTTGCCAAAGTGGTACAGGCAGGCCACTTCTGTAGATTTCCTGGCTTGCTGTATTTAGATGGTATCCTTGCCTTTAAGATCCACCACACTGCCAAAACTAGTGCTTGCATCTTGACCCGTCAGCACCATTGTATTACTCTGTCTTCTTAAATCATCCTCTTCACTGGGCTTCTGACAGTCCACTTCAGATTTTCCTCCTCTGTCTACTTTACTAGATCCTATCCCTCCTTTCTCTAAACTCTAAAATTAGATGAACATGTTCTCTCCATCTATACTCTTTCAGTGAAATCAACCAATCCCATCACTTAAAAAATTATCTAAATATTAAGAACCCCCGGATTTATATCTCCAGCTCTCAGCTTCCTTGAGCTCTTACCTTGAATATCCAATTGTGTTAGGCTAGTCTCACATTGCTATAAAGAAACACCTGAGACTGGGTAATTTATAAAGAAAATAAGTTTAATTGGCTCACGGTTTTGCAGGCTGCGTAGGAAGCATGTTGCTGGCATCTGCTTAGCTTTTGGGGAAGTCTCAAGAAACTTAGAATCATGGCAGAAGGTGAAGGGGGAGCAGGCATATCACATGGTCAAAGCAGAAAAAAGAAAGGAGAGAGGTGCCACACACTTTTAAACAGCCAGATCTCTCAAGAAATCACTCCCTATCATGAGGACAGTACCAAGGGGAGGGTATTAAACCATGCATGAGAAATCCACTCCCATGGTCCAATCACCTCCCACCAGACCCCACCTCTAACGTTGGAGATTGCAATTCAACATGAGATTTAGGTGGGGGCACAGATCCAAACTATGTCACCAATTTAACATCTTTATTGCCTAACAGTCATTTTCAGACTTCAGATGTCCAAAACTAAACTTCTGATTCCTTCGTGCCCTGCATCCACCTCTTATCTTCCCTAACTAGGTAACTAGCACCAGTCACTTAGGCCAAAAGCCCTGGAATGTCACTGACCCATCTTTTCCTGTATTTTTTTTTTTTTTTTTTTTTTTTTTGAGACGAAGTCTCTCTTGTGCCCCAGGCTGGAGTGCAATGGCACGATCTCGGCTCACTGCAGCCTCCACTTCCCGGGTTCAAGCGATTCTCCTGCCTCAGCCTCCCAAGTAGCTGGGATTACAGGCACCTGCCATCATGCCCAGCTAATTTTTGTATTTTTAGTAGAGACTGGGTTTCACCATGTTGACCAGGCTGGTCTCAAATTCTGACCTCAGGTGATCCGCCCGCCTTGGCCTCCCAAAGTGCTGGGATTACAGGCATGAGCCATTATGCCCGGCTGACCCTTTTTGTCTCACACCCTACATCCAATCCATCAGCAAGTCCTGACTGTTCTGCCTTTAGAATCTGACCACTTTTCACCATATCACGATTACCAACCCAGTCCATGTCACTATCATTTCTTACCTAAGCAAATGCCTTCTAACTGGTTTCTCTGCTGTACTCTTTGCCCACCTCTAGTCTATTCTCCATAGAACAGCCAGAGACCTTTTTCAAAAGTACTGCACCTTTTCCTCCCCCTCCTTTTCTCTGTCACCCAAAAAATTCATCTTAAAACTATTAAGTGGGGTAAAGTAAGACCACCATAGTGGGGGGAGGAGGAAGCCATGCAAGTGAGGAAGCAGAGCCAAATGTAATGAAAAGGGCATCCATGATGGGGTGGTACAGCCTAGTGTGGGAAGTCAGAGGCCACAATGGGTGAAGAGGGCATTGCCATGGTGTGTCAGAGCCTGATTAGTGAGGAGAGCACTCATGCAGGACAAGGAGGGCATCCACACATGGGGTGGGCTTGTTTGAGGTGTTAGAGCCTGAGCAGAGAGGAGGAGTGTTCATGTGAGGGTGTTCATGTGAGAGGGGCAGCCTGGCATGGAGGGTTGGTCTATTCAGTAAATACAGTATATTAAGAAGAGTGGGAGGCAAGTTTCTCCCTGCTGACAAAGGAAAGGACAATATAATTACCAAAAGGAGAAAATCAGAATTAGTCAATAGGAAAAACAGGAAAAATCGAAATTGTGTA